AATACTATAATATATACCATGACAATAATACGAAATTTCAGCCCAATCTGAACACGTCCAAGTCAGAAAAAACTACGTTTAAATATATTTATTTATGGAAACAAAAATGGTCCGAAACAAAGCTTTATACTACTATTGCATTTATATTCGGAATCCTGGGGCTTTTTAGTTTTTTTAACCACAATATTTGTATTTTTCCTTTCAGTTGTCCTTTATAATCTATGCATGTATTTCTAGTTAACAAATGAATGGGTATTCATTCATTCGACTACTCATACGAGGATTTTTTTTTATTTTCACTCATAAATTCCTCGCAGTTTGAGGAGGTTCTCGCTCATCTGTTTTGTGAACTGGTCGTGTATGTGACCTGCATGCCATGTGTCTCGGGGTCTCACTGTGAAATTTGCTTGGCATTTCATTAAATTCGCTTTCTTTTTTCTTTGCTAAATTCATTCATTTGCTTTGTGTCACATTTCTATCGTTCTGCGATTACATGGCTAAATTGCCTGGAAAACGTTTGTGAAATTTCTGCTTTTCCCATTAAGTTGATATTTACTCTTGTTTTTCTTATTAGAGCTTCAGGGATGAAGGATAATTTTACCCGTTTTAAAGGCATTTTCCGTTTACAAAATGCTCGCCCAACAGCTTCTGGTGATGAAATGCATTAATGCAGCTGATCTTAGGACTTCGCTCTGGGTTCTTCTTCTTCTCGCACCACATCATAAATCATTCATACGCAATTTTTTATATGCCACTCGATAAGTCGCTGAGCTGCTTGGCTATTTGTGCTCGATGTCAAATGCCAACTAATGCAATGCCAGCTAGCCAAGTCCCACAAGCCCCACACAACTCTAAGCCCTGGATAAATTATGTTAATTCCATAGCTGGTAGTCGGTTCTATTATTTTTTCTCCTGCCTTTCTCTCCTGCTTTTGCTTTACGATAATAGTTTGACAAATGAAGGAAAACGTACAAGTAAAAGAACTAGTTACTACAACCAGAACATACCCTACATTTATGAATGTAAGGTTTATAGATAATGTTGCACAGCAACAGAGGGTTTATAAATATCACATGCACTCTTTATGGAAAGTAAGTATACCCCTTTAGACTTTGGCAACGGGGTATCAAAAGCGCTGCTAAAGAGACAACTAAAACTGGAACACGACTTCGTCTTGCGACTTACAACTTGCGCCATATAAATTGCAAAAGCGCAACAAATTGTTAATTTTCTTTTCTCTCAACTGTTTCCTCCTCTTTTCTGACTACGTCGTCTCAGTCACAGCCATTCGTCTCTGCGTCTTTTTGTTAATTTACATATTTTTGTGTCAGAGATGGATTTATATTTCACTTTTTAAAGCATTTTAACGCAAAGCAAAGAAGTATAAATGAAACCGCAAAATTAAATTGTAATAACTTCCAGGCTAATTGTTGATCAGGCTAACTTCAATATTATATTTATTTAAAAATATTTAAATGATTTACCAAATAAAACCAATAAATTTAATCAGTCTGCTCACTGATCCTGTTGGAAATTAAAGTTCATGACCAAATAACATCAAAACTGTCATTTGAACCGCGTTTTGGATAGCAATTGGTGTAATAAAGCCTAGGGCATTATCGTACACTATTTGATATGCCACACACAGACGCACAAACGAACACCCAATGGTTTGCTGCCCAGGCATTTAGCATAAATTAAATATTTGCCTTTTGCATTGAAATCCCAGTCTAAGCACAGAGAATACATTTATGCAGGTGATTCATAGGCCTCTATTGGACCAAAAAGGGAAATCCATCAAATGAGCTGCCAACGCGTTGCACAGTCAATACAAATTGATGTTTCCACAAGAGCCTCCCTCCCTCTTACCGATACACCGCCTCATCCCCTTGTCGTGGGTCTGTCGCTAACGTTTATTTACTTAGCGAAAAGTGCTTGCAAGAGTTGTGGAGCGGCGGGCGGTTCGGGGAAGGGAAATGGGCTGGGCTGGGCTGGGCCGGGCAGGGCAGACTATTCGTATCTGTGAGCATTATTCAATGTTTGCTGCGAACGTGCACAAATTACAAATTCAATGCACGTAGCCATCGGCGGCGAGGCTTTAGACAAAGTTGGTAGCCGGGAGCTGGAAGATGGCAGCTTGGAGCTGCCGCCTGGCCATGTTTACGGAACGTCGCCGCCATCATCGTCGCCTCAGAGCGGCAGCGGCTGCAGCAGCGGCAGCGGCAGCAACAGCTCTCAACCAGCTGACGACACATTAAAATAATGTATTTTTAAATTTAACATTAATTGTCGCCGAATGGTATCTGAATGGGCTGTCTTTGCCTTTTACCGTTAAAAAGTGTCTCCCTCTCTCTCGTTTTTTGAGGAGTGCCCAAGACAGTTCCTCGTTGCCTCCTCGCTCCACTGTGCACAGTGCATTAAGTCATCGTTTTTCCTTCTTTTTTTTTTTTTTGGTGGGGGTAAGCAGTGGAAAAGATTTTCATAAATCGTTTCGGCTGGTTGTTAATGTTTTCCATCTTTTATTATATAGCCGTGCGTTGGGGAAAATATGTTTTTATGGCTTTGCCATTTTGCATGCATTAGCGGAGTGTCTGCAATGGTGGGTCTGGGCTTTGGGTAGGGGCCTTACCAAAGGCCTGTTTAAGTGGAAATATTTGATTGTGTTTGCACAGCACTTGCGAAATTGCAATGAGCTCGTTTGAAGACATGTTCAGAGCGCGTGTGCGCCACAGAGTTGGGAAAATATCACACTTCCCATCGCAAATTAGGTAAACAATCAAAAAATATTTGAGAGAATAAATATATCAAATATTTGTCCATTTCATACAGGAGAGAGAGTAGAGTCTCTCAACTTTATAAAGTAAATTGCAATAATAATCAGCATAATTATATTAGCAAAGGGCATGGAAAAAAACCTTAATTTTGTGTACCACTGGCTTCTATGACCTTCAGTCAAGACTATGCTACCACCATATACTAGTCTAGGATTATATTTCAGTTACCTAACTTAGGTCGAAGATCAGATAAATCGATAAGCTGCTGCGGCATCCGAACCAGTGTTCTGGCTGACCCCATCACAGAGAGGCGCCTTTAAAGGTTACACCTCTGCGATCTACCTGCGAGGCGAATCATTTAAATACCCTGCAGTATTAGCCTATGTCCTCAACTTTATTTTGAATATCCCAGCATTAAGTAAGTGCCATATTAGCTACAAGACATTGTAATTATATCTTATTTCACAGTCTTTCGCTTGGTAGAGATCAGAAGTGACTGATCGATGCTAACGTATAATAAAACAAATTGAATAGGAAAAGGAAAAGTTGCCTAACTTAAATCGCATGCCTCTTTCATATTTAGCATTTGACTGTTTGTCTAGCTAGGTTCTTTTCCTAAACAACCTGAACTTTGTTAGCTTTTAACATATTCTTTCGAGCAAAAACCATAAGACAGAAGCCATTTCAGAATTTGGCTTTAACAATGACTGCCCCACTCTAATTTAGCTTTACGAGTAGTGTTAGCCACTTGCTAATTCCATCAACGTCGACCGCTATTATCCGTTGTTAAGCCCGTGGCCAGCCTCTCACTTTACATTCGACATTTACAACGGCCTGTTAATGTTCAATATATATAGAGAATCGTAAGTGGCCATCCAGAAGCAGTCCAGGCGAGTGCTCTCCACTTTCATTGGATTTGCCTAACAAGCCATAATCATGTGGTGCTGTATTTAATTACTGCCCAAATTCGCATTCGCATTAGAAATTACTGCGGGGGTGTGCGGGGACTGCATGTGAGTGTGTTCAGCAGTAGGCGGACATCAGCTTCAGCATCCGCAAAGCCATCTTCTCAGCTGGCGAAATTCTAATGCGCCATAATGCCAAACACAATTGAGTCATTAAGCCGCAATCTAATTAAGCCCAAAAATGTGAACGGCTATCCACGAAAAATAAAACACATTAAAAAAAATCCAAAATATGTAACTCCAGAGCTGAGCAGCAAAGCGAATTTGCTTCGGTAGCTGCTCGAGATTTGTGCTCGTTGCGTGTTCTTTGACCCAAAAATTAAGCCCAAATAAAGAGTATAAAAAGTGGAAATATACAGAGTACTCTCTTTTCTTCTCTTTTTTTTACGGCACTTTAACGTGACCATTTTAGCAACCATTTTGTTTTACATTTCTTGGCTAAGATTTATTTCGTGTCGGCTTTCGACCACGTAGGTCATTAAATTGCTTAGAAATCGCGGACATCAACTTTCCGGCGGCAGCACAGCCCGGTCCGTTTTTAAATGAACCACAAAATGACTGTGAAACTGGCGGCACGCACCGTCTGCTAAGAGGACACAATGGGCAAAGAACTCTGTATTTTGCACAAAAATAGAAAGGGTTTCCTTGGGGAATAAGTAAACCCTATATAATATGTGCGTATAGGGATTTAGTTAGTTTAAAGTAGGGTTTTCGGCAAAAAAAGTTTTCAAAGAATAACTGGAGAATCCAAATTTTACAAAATATGTGGAAAGAAAAATTGGGATTTTCATGTTTTATGGCGTACAGCTCAGGTTCATTGTTCGAATAAGATCTTGCATTTAATAATTTATTCACATTTACGAACTTTGCAATTGTTCAAATCGAAGTTCTTAAATTTTGATCAAAATGTTTAAAATTTTGACCACTGTTTCGTAGCTGTTTAGGTTCGTTGGGCTTGTTTTGGGCTTTGCAGCATCGAAATAGATACAGTTAATGCCACAAAATGATGTCTAATGACGGTTTCGTCTTACATGACGAGCACCGGCGGCTGCTGCGGCTGAGACTGCGGCTAAAACCAGAGACAGAGGCCTTTGGGCTCGGTTAGTTTGTGTATCTATTAAGTGCTGGTAATTTATAATAAGCCCCAAGTGGGGTCCTAAGCTAAAGTTCAATGCTGGCAGTTCGGTCGGTCTCTCTTTCCCACTTCCTGTATCTGCATGTCGCTTGCTATTATTAATAAGCCAATGGATTGCGCACTTACCTTCAACTTTAGCCAGTGCCAAAACGGATATCGTTTGGAGTGCGGGCACCGCCCAGGCAACCAAATGGAATAAATGAGATTTATTTTCAATTGCCTCGTGGCCCCATTTGAGTCCAGCGGCCAGGAACCACGCAAAAGCCAAACACGACCACCACGCAAAGGCGGCCATACAACAGAAATACAATGCCATGAATAATACGGTGCAGGCGGTGGTCTGACGATGACCCTGCGAGAGAATGAGAGTGCCGAGAAGGATGTTGGTAAATAAAAAATGGAATTCGTTTCACCTGCTCCACTGCGGGTCGAACTTTGGCTTGACTTACCTGCGTTATGGTGGACATCATCTGCAGGCGTCCCAGCTTCACTGGCGGCGGAAATGGTTCACGGCACGACACCGAATCGCCCGCACCAAGTCCGGCCACATAGGCACAGCCGACGACCAGATAGCAAACGGCCAGAAAGACAATCGCACGCTCCGGATAACGAAATCGCGACGAGTCTATCAGAAAGGTGAGCACCTGTCCAGTTAAAAGAAAAGGCAGCAAATTAAATAAACATATTTATTGTGAATTTACATTTAATTAACTTTGTAATTATATTAAAGATGCCGCGTCGCAGTTTTTCATTGCCGACTGGCTTAAAAATGCATTAGCCGGAGAGGAGGCCAGCAGAAGTTGAGGATTGCGATACGGTATACGGGATACGGGACACGGGACTCGAGAGTCGGGACCCGGTCATTAGGCACTACACATTAGCTGATTGTTGTGCAATTTATTTGATCTGAGCTCATTTGTAGCATGTTTCTGGCTAAGCGAGCTGGCCTTAATGAGAGTACCAGAACCGCAGAGTCCTTGGCAACCAGGCATTTAGGGCGCGACTTGCCTGCGTCTGCTGTAGCTAAGTGCCAGAGCATTATATATTTAATAATGCTATAAGGCTCAATTTCCCATCCAGCTGAGTTGCTCTCTTGCAGCCATACGCAGTATTATGTGCGCACAAACTGCCTGACAATTCTTAAGGCTTTAAAGGCAATTTCCAATTAAATGGCTTCTGGGCCAAGCCATCTACATGCCTACATGACGCCACAGTCAACCACTTTGACGAGCCGCAAAGGCAACTCAATCTGCCAACAGCCCGCCCACACAGCCCAGACAAACCAATCCAGCACATGGGCCCACATCAACTAAAACTGCAATTCCCAGACCAATCCCAAGACTCAAGCTCTGGCTTTTGCCTGCTAATTACGCACAATTTAAATGAATTCATTAACCATGGACTAAGCCTTGGCTGAGTCTTGGGTCTTTTGTCTCATGTATCTTGCTTCTTGCCGCTTACCAGCCCAGCCAGCTCTAAGCAAAGCCATTTAATTTGATCATTACAAAACTATCAGTGGAGCTCTTGCCAAGGAGTGTGGAGCCGCAGTTGTTTCTATGGCATAATTTGCTGCTATTATTATTATTACGACCGAGAAACATTTGAATTATTCATAGATGTAACACACGACCCAATTGTCGCAAGGCGCAACTATACATTCGTATGGATTTACGTACTTTACCATGTGTTGAGCTTGTAGGGTATACGTGATATATGGAATATATGCTTTCAAATGTAACTCATAAACATTCCCAGATAAGCACAATTAATTAGAAAAGAATCGGATATTAGTTTGGCAATACATTTTATAGATCAACATTATCACGGTGAAGTTCAAGTTTAAATGGTATCTTTAAAGCAACACTTTCTCATTAACCAGATGAATATTCATCCTCTTTCTCTACTGCATGTACTTCTTTCCCTTAGAAGAACATAAAGTGGTTCTCTTCGAAAGCTGGAAAGATTTTGCCAACGCATTACCTTGTCCTGGCACTTTTCATTTACAGGGTATCACCTAGTCTGGTCTTACTGTTCGTTAACTAACACTTCTGACTCCTAATTTATAGTTCTTCTATGCCTAGGTCTAATTCCCGCCTACGCTTTATCGTCTAGCTCATTTACATGCCAAATTTATGCCTGAGATTTTGGGCGTGTGTGGAGGAGTTCTTGTAACGCATTTGTTGACATACAGAGAGAAGCAGAAGGTATATAAAAAGCAAAAAAAAAAAATAGCAGAACAAAATTGAATTGAATTGTTTATTTATGCCAAACAATTCGGGAAAAGGATTGCGGACGAGTCCTCCAAAAGGCAAGGGTTACCAACGTGCATACTCGCACACAGAGAGCGCGACGTCTATCTTAAATGCTCACCCTGACATTTCAAGACTATATATATATAAATGTATATTCCCCCCTCCCACACACACACTTTGCCGGCAATTTGTTATGCCACGCATGCTGCTCACTTCTAGTGAGGGGCGTAGGGCGTGGCTGTTTGTAGGTGTGACTGCAGAAATTGTAGCTACAAATGAAGTGAAATAAGCCAAAGCAAAGGCATCCAACAACAGTCGCAAACAGTCATGAGAGCTAGAGCTCCCCTCTCAACTCCAACTTCAATGACAATTCCAAGCCCCACACTGTTGCTGTCCCAGGTTAAGTCAAAAATTATGCGTTACTCGAGCTTCAGCTTGGCTTTTGTTGTCATCTCATCGTCATGATGGGCGTGGGCAGCGCTTTGATAAACACGGGGCGTAGTTAGTCAGTTTCCGGCTAACATTTAGCTAGCTCTAGAAACTGCACATGATATTAGCAAAGAACCGGGTGCTCAAGGCAGCGTAAGCTGAGAAGTTACGATAATGAAAGGTTTCCCTATGCTGTATGTAATTGTACTAAGTGGGATACTTTGCAGAAGGAATGCATCTTTAGAATCGTATCTAATTTCTTTTCCTAATTATTATATTTATATATTTTTGACTCGTTCTCCCCGAAGATAAACTCACGATCTTCCCACATAAAGTGTGAGCACACCTCCCAAATGGTTACATTTAATGTTTAATTTCAATTTCAACGCCGCTGCGGCTCATAAATTGCTAAAACTAGTCATTAAAAGCATTCGAAAACCAAAGCGAACACAACCCCAACCCACTTGCCTCTCACTCTAAGCCCGCTTAGCTTTGTCTAGCGTTAGCCAGTTTAGAGTTTTGCATAAATTAAATTAATTTTTTCCATACTCTAACATTTTGGTTTTTATTTAAAATTCAAACTAAATAACGACGTCATTTGCATACTACCAAAGAGACTACAACAATAGGGGGAGGGGCCTCTAGTTTTAGTTAGGGGTGTTTTTGTCGTCGTCATCTATTTCAGCGCCTATGATTAGCATAAAACTTCGCACAGGTTTTTTGTGAATTTGTTAAAAAAAATACGAGAGCATAATTGCGGCATAAATTGTGGTAAATGTTTACGGCTTCGCTTCGTTTTGTATTTAGTTTTTCTGAATATATTGGACACAAATCATGGTTTTGGGTTGTCGGGCATTTAAATGATTAAAAAACAAAATATTGCTTATGCTGTCATTTAAATGTGCATATTTAACAAATGTATATTAGTTGTTCATATTTATTCAAATGGAGAGCCGCTAGTCAAACAACATGTCAAACCAAATATACGAGTGCTCGAAACATTTTAGGTTCCACGAGGCTTTTTGTAAAACTTTGTCCAACTATCACTTAGGTCCTGGTCCAGCAGTTTCCTTTGTCACCATGACACGGAATATTTGCACACATCCTGTCCGATTATTCAGCTGTCTGTCGGCCTGCCTGTCTGTCAGTGAGTCAACATGCACCTCACTGAGCTTCTGTTTCAGGTTTTGTAATTAAGAAAAGTCATCAAAGTCAACAACACGCTGACTGACTGACTGACTACCACCCCCTGGCAGCCGACGAACCCGCTCGCTTATTTGTTGTCAACATTATCAGAGCTCCCACTCACGTCTGTGCCCGCCCAGGCCCAGTGTTACGTGTATGTCACACTATTCCACTAGACTGCATACTCGTTCCCATTGGCAACCCATTGAGAGCCCATTACAGCCCCAGTCATTTCCTTTTCGCTTTCATTGTAAAACAAATGTCATGTCTGACGTCTCTCATCTCGTTCCCAGCTCATTCTCATCTCATTCTCATCTAATGCGTTTAATGAAAAAGGTGTTGATTGTTGACAGTTGTCTCTCATAGTCGCGTTGTCGTTGCCGTTGTCTCCAGGCGTTAACTCGAGCCTCGGATTCCACGGCATTTTATCTGCCAGTTGACAGCAAAGTCAACGACAAAGTTCGCAGTCAGGAAAGCTGGTAAAAAATATTTGTTTGGTTTTAGTTTGACTTGCGTTGCGAAATTGAAATAAATGTGTTTGTTTATATTTTAGTTGATACTCTGTTCTTGCCACACTAAGCCCTGAGGAACTGTCACTTGTAACTTAGTCATTTCACAATTGCAATGGTAGATTTCAATTACAGTCAAAGTTACACAAAGTTTCCTTCAGGTACAATATCCTTATGTCATGAACCCGTCAACAAATCTGTAAGCTTTAAGATCTTGAACAAACAAATTAATTTGTTGAGCTCTGTGAATGATTTTATCTATAACAAAAAAATTGTAAATTTTAAAATAAATAAAATCTATCTATGATTTATCAGTTAATATTCCTTTGAATGCTTTTACTGCACTTATCTAATGCCCTCGGCTGTCGTTTCTCTATTGTGTGCTTATTGAAAATGTAAATCCTATCCCACATGTGAGTTTAGTTCAACCAAAGTCTTTCAGAGTTATATAAATAGAAATTGATTTCTTTTTATATAATTTCATAGAGAATAGTTGTAATTGTTTTTATTTGTAGGACAACACTTAAATAATTAAATTTGTGAGTTCAGCTTAAATAAACTCAGAATCCATGAATTAATATTTAGCCGAATGCGTATGATTTCAGTTTATGTATGTGGTGTTTTCTTCGCTAATATTAACTCTCGTTAGTTACACAAGAAATTCATTCAACAAACAATCGGCTATCATCTAAATTTCATGTATTATCATATGCATAAAAAGCACAACAGCAGCACACGCACACACGCACACACAAAACAATTCCATCATCATCAATGCTGGGAATGGAAAATGAAAATGTCAAGTGGGCGGAAAAGTCGGCTGGCCCACTGCAACAGTAAATCTGTGTAGCTAGTGAGGGGGGAAAGTGAAAGCAGCTGCTTCCCCAAATGCAAAATGCAAAATGAGCGCTCAGAAAACATAATCATTATCATAAAAAAAATTTGCGTGTATATAGAGCGGGAAAATGAAGTCGGGAAAACTAAGTGGAAATAGGCAACAAAATAATAATTTGCGCAGTGATATGCGTTGCCACGCCCACAAGCAGAGACTGCCTGCCTCTGACAATGCGGGACAAATGACATGCAAGGCGAAATTTATTACAAAAGCAAAAGAAAACTGGAGGAAAAACAAGCAGCAGCAGCAGCAGCAACTATGCAAAATTCGTCGCACTGAAAGTGACAACGTTCTCGCACAAGCTCCTCCCGCCCCCCTGGTGTGTGTGTGGGTGTGTGAGAGTGTGTGTGTGATGGATGTAGCTCAACTTTATGACATGCTGCAAGCAACCCACCCGCAGTTTCAATTGTAACTAGACTCCCAGCCTCCCCACCCCTCCCGTTACCCATTAGAGATCGGACAAATTTGTGCTGTTGACTAAAATATTTGATAGACGTGTACGTTAGTATGGCCCCCTCTCCCCCTCCACCCACCCCTCGCCCCAACATCTCGACCCATTGACTGCCTAGGATACCATTTTTATTTCCTTTCCACTCACCCTGCCCAGCTTACAGCGTTTTCTACAGCTAAATAGATATTTTATTCAAATTTTCTTGTTGGCTTTGGGTTTAGTTTGTTTGTTTATTTTTTTGTTCCTTGATAGATGATGGATATGTTAAAATAAAACCTGGCGCATCAAGCAAGAATACGCTACACCCAAAAGGTAACAAATTGGGTTTGAGGTTTAAATATGGCGTTAATTTACATATGTGGGAAGAGTTAATGGATTGAAAAGGGTAGGTCAATATGTAAATTTACAATAATTTATACGATGGGTAATATTAAAAGATGATTTATGTCTGAATATCTATAAATTTTGTTGCTTTTTGTGTGTTTTTAGTGATTGCCAAGAACCTTTAAATAAATGAACATTAGCTAAATGGTTCTAAAAACAATCTAAAATAGGAAAAATATATATAATCCGGCATATCTTTCTTTACATGCTTTTCATGCTTTTAACCTCCAGTTAACAACTCTTCAATTTAATAAGAACGTACCATGCCCGTGCATGCAAACGCTCCTCATCCTTAGACCTATCCATCTAAGGGAGACTTATGCAATAGCCAAATGCATTTTGAACCATAATGTTTAAGCTTGGCTATGTTTGTCTCGATGTGCAGTTTCAATGCCAGCTACCATGGCAATCATGTTTTATGCAACCGACGACGACAAACAAGCCGAAAGGTAAACTACACGCCCACCTGGATGGGCGGCGGGTTAACCAAACAACCATCGGAACGGGACCCCAAGAATATAGCGAGGAGCTGGATGGGAAAGTGTGGAACAGAATTTATTCAACTATATTCAAAGCTAAGAAGGGGGTTCCGCATATGTTTTGCCAAGTTTATTGAAAAATATGCGCTGACAGGTAATATGTCAATGCGTGGGATTTGCCAAAGTGCCAACGTCGCCTCCGCAGCATCATAATAGACTCGGTGCAGGAGCAGGCGGGGCGGCGGCAGGATCTGTGCCTGGGTAAGGATATGCAAACGCCGGCATCAAGCTGTTCGCTCTTGCTCCCTCCCCAGGCATGTTCTTAAACCAAAGAAAATATGGCAGCACTCAGATGAAAACCTTGGCAAACGGCAGCCAGAATAAGCTTAGGTATACGGCTGGATTTATGGAAGGGTGCGGGTGCGGGTGCGAAGACTGCATTTCTGTCTTGCTCATGATTTATCGCCATCAAATTGAAAATTGAGTGCCTGACATTGTGGCACAGACGGGCGTGCATTAATATTGAAAGGAAAAAAAAATGGATTCGCACTTACCGTAAAGAGACAACTGGCCACACAGATAGCCGCCCAGGAGCCGACCCAATAGCGGAGCACCGTTCGTTCCCGTTCCGGAAAGAACATGGCGTGACATGGTGCGCCACAATCATGCAGATCCTGTAAAGAAAACCCAATTGAATGGAAATGGAAAATGGAAATGAGTAAGTGAAGCGGCGCAACGGAAATTAATTTTCTTTGGTGCGTAATTAATTAGAATTATATTAAAGGATTGATGGTACACCAAGATTAACAGAGAGTGGAAAAGAGACACAAGTAGAGAGAGGGAGAGAGGGAGAGAGAGAGAGAGAGAGAGAGAGAGCGAGGAAGAGAATTAAGGGTTTGGCTGTGGGGTATATAATTGCCGCAGGCCAACTTTTAATCATTATTTAATTTATCATTTTATTTGTCATAAAAAGCAAATTAAAATTTGTATATTATTGAGTTTTTCTTTATTAATGTCAATTCATAAAATGATAAATGGTTTAAAACAAATTTAAACCAAAAGATATCCTCTCTATTTTAACCTGTCTCTCCTTCTTTTGGTCTCTCTTTTTCTTTCTCTCTCTCTCTCTCTCTCTCTCTCTCTTTTCTCCATTTTATTGACTCTTCGTCCACATTTTTCTTTCTTGTGCTGGAATATCAGTTATAAGTTTATAGAAGTTTTTGAGGAGCACAGGGTACCTTCTATTCGATCAGAGCTAGAGAAATGCTTTTTGCGTCTATTTAATAAACATTGCTTTAAATTACGTAAATCACTTATTTGCTTTAAATTGATACTTATTATTATGAATTTACTTAAATATATAAATTCATTTAATTGTACAAATAATTAATTATATAAATCAAATAAATTACTTATTATTACAGAGATTGATGATTATTTACTTGTAATATAATTGAGAAACAAAAAAATTGTAAAACAATTAAACTAAAATTTAAAAAATTAATATATATTCATCTGATTTTTAGATGATTATGATCGAACAATTTACGACAAATAAAAGATCAGAAGAAAAAGTTTTGCCAATCTTTTGTATACCGTAAACTAGATGAACAATCTTTACAGATATATTTATTTATTTTATGAATAAAATAATTTGATATTTTATCTAAGTGCATAAGGTATTAAAATTGCATTACAATATGCATATAATAATATTTATCAATTTGCCAAATTTTAACTTCCCTGTTCAAGTTTTCAGTTTGTTAGAAATTGTTTGATCTAAGTCCTTTTAGGGGGACCGCTAAATCTGTTTCCGCATCAAATCAGAGTTTTATTATATGCGCTCTTCTTTCTTCAAGTTCAAATTCGCATTTCGTCTTGGAGTATAATTTTTATTTTAGCTACTTTGGCCCGAAACTGCAGGCAATTTGAAGTCGCTTCCGCTGTTGCCGAAGTTCCGCCTCCTGCCAAAGCAGTGAAAAGTTTGCTTCTCTTTATACCCTTGTTACGGGTATTATAATTTGGCATGAAATGTGTGACACATGCATAGAGACACCTCCGAAACCATTAAGTGTACACGAATCAATTTCCAATAAGTATATACGAGAGTTATGTTGTTGATGCGATATCGATATCGGAATAATCGGTCGATTTTATTTAAAATATTATATGGCATTTAAGAAGTTTATACATAGAGAAAATCTTATAAGCATTGGACTGGTTCTATATGAAGAACTGGTGAAAAGGTGCGTTGGGGTGAGACATCTTCAACAAACTTTCAAGCTTCACAATTCTCCCCAACATATCTACAAGCCCGTAAGCCATATATCTACAAGGGGAATTAATTCTCTGCGTGCCGTTCTTTTTGTTTCTTTTACCCTTGTAGAGGGTATTATAATTTTGTGATGAAACGTGTAGTGTCTCAGTTTTATAGCTATCATCTTGAAACTTTGCGTATTTCCGTCTTTCTGTTGATCGGACAACTATATCACATAGAAACGATCGGTTGAAAAGTAGGTTCTTGTATTGAAAACTTTTTGTTTTTAAAGATCTATCAACCAGATATCCATTTACGTTTCATTATTCTCAGATATCTGCAAAACTCTATTGCAAATGCTTACAAGGGTATTAAATCTTCGGCGTGCCGAAGATATCCCAACTTTCTCGTTTTTGTTTTTTATGTTATTGCATGTGCCACAAATATGCGTAAATATTGCCAAGTCGTCCTGTGCCATTGCCTCATCCTTCTGAGCTGGCTGACTGGCTGGCTGCCTGCTTATCATTAACATCATTATATAAAATTTGTAGCCGGCTGCTGTTGTTGTTTTCGCTTATTTCGGGCCTGAGCTCGCGCCAGATAAAACGCGTTTAAGGCGACGCTGACGACGGGTTCTCCCTCTGCAAGTCGAACAAAAAAAAAACGCAATTTGCGCCGCTAACCTAACGATGATTGCCCCGAGTGAAGAGGACAGCCCAGCACCAGGGCTAGTATCCATTCAGGCCAGGATCAGCGGGAAGCGCCTTTTAAATTTTTAATGGGAACTTCAAATAATGCGCAGGCCGAAGCCATAAAATTTTGGGGTTGCTCTTTGACAGAGCTGCTGCAGCTCCTCCCCACTAACTGCTTAGTTTTTGTTTTTCATTTTGGCCTTGGCTTTAGACCAGCCACAGACAGGCAGACAGTGTCCCTTGCCTCGCATCCTCCCAGCCGCCGTGGGGCTTTGGGTGCATGTGAAATGAGTTCAACGTCGGTTCGTGTCGAGTTGAGTCTGTTGCGGAGAGATGCGTGAGGCAAACATTTGCAGATGTGTCGAGAGATCTGCATCAGATGCAGATACATTTCGTATTCGCTGTTGCCAGTCAAGAATTTTTGCAATGTTTGTTTGCCTTTCTCTCTGAGCGTGTGTGCGTCAGCGAGTGTGTGTGTGTGTGTGTGTATGGTTCTATCTAAAATTCAAATCTCTTGTGGTTTACACACTGCCTTAACATGCGTCGTTGCCGCACTTCACAATGCAATTTGCGGGGTTGTTTTACAGGGTTTCTTTCCCAATGTCTATTTGGAGTTCAAGGTTGTGACCGCAGGGTTGGCATCCAAAATAATCTTAATCGTAATATCATTAAATTGCATTCATTGCCCGGCAAGGGCCCGAAGAGAGTTGACAGGCTGATGAATTGTGTGGGTAGTGCAGGGTATTCAGGGTTGCAACAGCTGGTAAGTTGTACAAAAGTTTTACTAGCTTTTCAGTAGGGTCTGTTGAGGTATCTTTAATGAACTCCGTAAGACAAACAGACGCCTCTTCCATGGCCAATTAAAGCACTAGAGCTTGTGGCATACAACTTCGTGCGGCAACAGTTAGAACAAAAGCCCAGAAGACAACGTGGCCCAAAGGAGTTACAATGGCAACAACTACAACTAGCACACTGACCACAACAAAAGCCTTGGGACCTGCACATTGCATTGTTAGGCCTTCGTCTGGGTCTGTACCCGCATCTCTGCGCTCTCTGCTCACACCCGCTGTTAACTTCTCTGTCGTCTCTAGGCTGGCCATTGTTTTCGATTTTTATGAGGCATGTATAAATAATTGCGCCCAAAGGCCGCCGACATAAGTTTTCATGCCGGCCGCGTGGACGAACAACAGCAACAACTAAAACGCCAAGCGACTAAACTGGGGCCCGGTGCCCGCTGCCAGTTGCCACGCCCATTCCCTTGCGCCCTGACAACGCCCTGGCGTCGCTGGCGTCGCCGGGCACTGCAACAAAATATTTTCCTTCTTTTTGGCTGCCGGCTACAAATGAAATAAAAAATGGCAGCTGGCTGCAAGTATGAACAGCATTTAAGGAGTTTTTAATTTATTATAAATAAATTTTATGCCCGGCAAGCTACGACGAGACGGGTGCAGGTGAGAGGGAGGCAGCTTGGACCGAAGGCTGCTAGTTGGAATATTGGGGGGCGTGTTGATGATGGGCAGCCTGCAAATTATTATGACTAAAGTCGAAAGTCAGCGCTGAGAATGAAACAAAGCAAAGGCGGACGCACACTGAAACGAGATGCGTCAGATAAGTGATGAAAATATTAAGCGGAAAATTGCCTCAATAAATTGTGAGGGGCATTAATCAATTTTAAGGGTATCAGAAAGCGTATTTACAATGTGGCGGACGCAAGAAATAATCACAATATTTGCGCTTAAATTTGTTGAGATATAAATATAAATATAAATTTTAAACAATAAATGTTTTTATAAAAATATATTACTTATTTAAAATTGTTAGTCTTTCAATTGCCATTTTGCGTTATCAGAAATGTAAACTTATTTTTAATAAAATGGAATTTCACTGGAAAAAAAATTAATTCTTGTGTTAATTTCCAGATCTCGAAAAGCTACTCTCAACCTCTGTGAACTCCTCTAATTATATTAGCCATGGCAAACGAATTTATGTACTGCACAATACTTCGTATATTCCAAGGAAAATAAGAACATTAGAGATACATTAAAGAAACGTGTGACAGTTAGCCAAAAAAGTGTTAATGGCGCAAGCTCTGACAGTTTTAGAAGTCGCACGAACGTTTTTCGAAGCAATTAAGATAAAATATCTTTATGCCAGACAATGTGGTCATAAAATTTTCATTCTATGAAAACTCTAAGCACACATAAAAAAAGAAAATAATAAGAAGAAGCTACACACAACAAGTTGCTCTGAAAGTTTGAATCCCAGTGTAGGCAAAAAACTTTATCCGCAGAGAGTTCAGCTGGAGGCTTCAGCCACATATTCATCATCCACCAGAGCCAGAGTCAGAGTCAGAGTCAGAGCCGGAGCCAAAGCCATAGACAACCCTCGACAGCGTTAATGATAGCTTCGACTGTGTGTACGTGGGTGTGTGTGTGTGTATTTTTGGGGGTGTTGCTGACGTTGTTAAAGTCAAAATAGGCAGACAGACAGGTTGGCGGGCGGGCGGGTTTGTTGAAGCAGCAGAGACCGAAGGGCAAAAGATCTAAAGCATTGAGCGGACATTCCCAATGTGCAATTTGATTGTCCTAAGGGTTGATTTTCGGGACGCAGGATGTGTGCAGGAGAGGATGGGCCTGTCTTCCAGCCTGCTGTTATGTTCCTTGTGTGTGCATGTTGTTCTTCCTGCTGCCATGCCTGATGTCTGGCATGTCCTTGGGGGCGCCGC